CAAACACTACAAATGCAATTTGTTTTAAAAGGCAGAAATCTGTGTATATGCATAATTGTCCTATGTCAGATCACACTCTAAGTTGAAATGTCTTTCATTGTAAAATGAAACCTTCAGTAACTGGTTGCTCTCCTACTGGGTTGAAGTACTGTTTGAAAGCATTAATTCTGTGAAACACTCTGGATCTAGTTTTTCCCTCCCCCAGTGTTCAGATACTTCTATTTATAATCCCTTTTCTTGCTAAAAGCAACGAGCACTAACTTCCTAGTACATTAAAAGGATACTACTCTCTTCACTAATACTTCTTGGAAATTATGTAACCATTAAAGATTACCAATGTTTTTTCCTTCCTCATTGTAGAATGTACGGATGTGGAAGTTGTGCAGTGAGAATACTGAACTTATGTTCACAGACATAATGTGACCATGGGTGTATTTCTTAATTAAACTGTGTTCATATTCTTTATTTCTGTTGAGTGTTAACTGTTTATTTTTGCCTTTTTGAAGTACTACTGTTGTTTTATCTCTGGGGACTTGAAGTAGAATTACATCATTTCAGAACTTTTTTCCCCCCTTTTAGTAAGTATTGACTAAACATCAGTATATGCCTCTCTTCATGTAACCCCTTCTTTTTTGAGCTTCAGCTGCCTGTGATGCAAGGCCTAGTTCTGATATGGCACAGGTGAGTAATTGTGGCTTAAACAGCTGAGAAAGTTGCTAAGTTGTGAGATACAACTGATAAAGGGTCTTTAAGTGTTTTATGGTGGTAACCTTGTAACTCATTAAATCCTAGCTTTTATTAATGTTTTTGTCCTTCACGTGTCTTTACATGTGACAAAAAGTGCCCAAAGCAACCAGTAAAAGGGGGGGATTATCCCTTAGCATAAATTCCCTTTAACTAGTATGGAGACAGCTTGCAAAAGGGGACCACCTGTCGGTTCTACACCAAGTTAGCTGTAGGCGCCTTAGCACGGACCTCACTACCTAGTGCTCTACTGGTTTTTGCAAAGCCTGGTCATAGTTTAGCAAACAGGCACTTCAGTACCTCGTTACAGGTAGTAAATGCAGCTAAGAGTATGTTTCTCAGTACAGGATTACAGATAGTGAGGACTACAGCAGCCTTTCTTTCCCCTCTGTTTGACAGGTGCTCAGGTGTGGTTGCAGTGTCAGTGGGGAAAGCACTCGCTCACCTTGAAATTAAAACTTGTACGGTGCCAGAGGTACTAATTAGCCACCTTAAATCAGAAGAGAGATATTGTACTACTATTTGGCGCTCTGTGAAATAACTAAATTGAACAAAAGAGTCAGTCGAGGCTGCAGCTGAAGCTTATTGCGTCTTCTCTCTCAGGCTTGTCTGCAGGGAGCTGCTCTAGGCCCAGCCCCCGTCTCGGCGTTGCAGTTTTGCTCTAGGGCTGGCGAAAACCTCGTTACGCTTTCGCGGAGGCGACAGTGGACGTTTTACCCCCGATCCTGCCTCAGGCCACC